TAGAACGATCCAGGGTTGAAAAGCTGCACTGGGTGGTAAGGGAGTTTTAAGGGTTTTATTTTAGACTTGAAAGATAACGAGAAGCATGTATAATGGGGATGAGCGAATTTCGTTGGGGCAAAATGAGAAATTGAACCGAGGGTGGGAAATATGTATGGATTAATGTTGGGATGTGGGACGAAACACAATGGGGCAGGGGGTGATCGTTCGCCGTAGGTCTGGCCATTTATAGAGTTTAGGGGTGTGTTCGTTATTATGCAGGGAGATAGAAAACTGTCGAAATTGAAAACTGATTTTTCGAGAATTTTAATGTGATTGTGCAATTGGATGAGATAAATATTTTTTTGAGCATTTTTAAAGCTACTCGTACCCTTGTAAATTCACCCTTGTTCAAACCCTCTTTGAGGCTGGATCGATCTTGGAAAGAATTTTTATTTTTGTTTGTATTCACTATAAAAGCACTCGGGGGAGCTTCCACTCATATAATATACAGCACCCTCGGCTTATGAAAATCCACCCTTGGATCTCGATATTATCACACGGAAACTCCCCAAGTACAATGCAGCTGAAGGTAGGAACGAAAATTGGGTATCGACAAGTTCACAGTTGAGAAAAATAAAAAAAATGTATGTCTATATTTAAAGAAAATCTTCGAGTACTTTTGCCCCGACTCAGTGATCGAATAAAAAAAAATTTTCCAAAATCATTCGAAATTGTCGGTTTTTCTCTAAATCCGCAAAATCACAAAATATCCCTGAATTAAATAAAGCGGTGCTCACGACCTACGGGAACGTAGAAACGTATTTATTTTGTTCTTCCAGAGTATCCCGTATCATAAGTCCTGATCTCGTAGTACATACAATTCATCTCCGTCGAGTGACTGTGAAGAAGCATAGAGTAGATTTAGGATAATATGAAGATATTTGAAAAAAAAGCAGGACGCTCCTCTCCCTGGCGAAAATCCATTCCCCGAAACGTCACTGAAACGAAAGTAACGTGACTGAATCGAAAAGGAAATTTTTACCAAATCTCAGATACAACGACGGATCCTGATTCTAAGTTAAGGCGATAGACGAAACTAAAAAAACACCAGGACACGATTTCCCGACTAGGCGTCTTCAGGATACTCGAAGAGCTTTCCCACAGGAAATCGGTTCTCGTCTTCCCGTCAAATCTAATTCTCTACCTAAGAGAAGACGTGGTCCAGTGGGTCCTCTTCTCTTCTCCTTTCCCTTCCTTCCTCGCGTCCCCTCAACCTGTCTCAGCATAGTCGAAGAACAGTTCATCGCGCGTATTCTATTATCCGCGAAGTGGTCCAATCTCGTGAGTGAAGGCTAAACAGGACGATGGGAATTTGTCTTCCGAATCCTGCAGGGATCGAAAAAGTCCTCGGGGAAAATGAACGACGGAGGAGGCAAGATAGGTAATCGCGAAGGCTTGCGGTTTTCCAGCGGGAGGGCGCCATCCGCGATCAATTGCGAGGTCGGCCATTTTTAATCCAGAAAAAGGGATGGTTTTCTCAAGTCACCGTTATATAAAACGATACAAGAGGTCACAGGTCAGATAAAAAGATTCTTAGTGCTCGCTGTCATATCGCTGGACCAGTCTACAGCATCCCTGCTACTTAATGATATTAGCCAAACCTAAAGAGACCGATCACTGTTAGCTAATGGATCTTTTGATCGTCCACAACAACCAAAACCTTCGATCAAAATATCTAACGGGTGTGACATTTAAATTGTAAAAATTACCTTTTACAAATTTTCCCTATACTCGCATCCCTTAAATTGTCCCTGTACTTCTATATCACGTGAACTGTCTGCTCGTTCATCCCTTAGATGCTCGATTTGAACATGCAGACTTTTCAAGTCTCCGTAGGATCTCCCGAGATTTCACGTGTAGAGGGTGTAAAATAAATCTTAATTGTTGTCAAAACTTCTCGAGGTGTTATGTTATTAGAATGATATATTGATAGTCTAAAAATACATACCTAACCCCTCATGTCATTATTACGAATGACATTCACCATTAGCAGTCACTGAATGCCCCCTCTCCCTTACACAAAGTGAAATATAATGCAGAAGATAGATCGCCCTTCGCAACCCTAATTGGCAGGTCGTGTTATGGTTTTGCGAATCGTATCCCATTCGGCCATGAAATTCTATTCAATCCGATAGCAGGTGTATACGGGTGGCGGGTGTAACGAAACCTCGTAGCGCCAATAAAATTAAATGTTGGTTCTTGAATAAGATGAAAAAAAAACCACAAAAACCCTAATAAATTCTAACACTAAATTTTTGAATAATAATAATGATAAATGTAATTTTGACTTTTTCAAAATATATCCAATGCAATATAAGTATCAAAAGCTTACAACGTATCTGGACTATATTAGAATTGACAGAGGCACTAGAATATAAATTACATACACAGCAACAGGGAAATTAAAGCATAATATCTCGAGTAATATTAATCAAATATTACCTTAGCTTCTGAAACAGGAAAAAAGGCTACCGATATATTAAAGTCCTAAGAAACATCCTTCGATCGAATAACGAAAACTTTGAATGCTTTTAATCCGAGCTTAGTCAATTAGATGACTTAACGATGAATCCTTGCTCCGGAGTAAGGATTTAATGTACACACACTGTCTATTGTATTATTTGAAAAAAAAAAGTTTGGCTGGTCCTCCATTCCATTCCTAATATCGGATCCTCAAAGGGAATTCGTTAATGGCATTTCCATCAATGAGCTTAGCACAAAAAATCTTTTTGGTTAAGAAGATTTTGTCTTTCGCCAAGCAATACGATCGCCTTATTTTTATTCATTAATATTCATAGCTATATATATATATGAGAGACATAGATACGTTGGATCGTCTGCCGCGTAGTTGACTCCTATCGTCCTCCTTCGGGCATTTTCGTACTTAGTCTTCGTTTCAGCCCCGAAGCGATCGAAGTCGCTAGAAAAATCCTGAAAGGGACGATTTAAAGTGAAAAGTTCAGGATTGAGAATTTTTTGGAGTTACCCTACTCTAGGAAAAGTAACTCTATAAACTTTTACTACTTGGATGAATGATTTATTCTATTTTTTTTTCCCCCGTTTCTTTTTCGTTCCTCGTCGTTATGCTCACGCACGTTAAAACTTCTTACAGAAGCTGGGCGGGGGAAAAGAGGATAGCTGCTCTTGTTCGGCACAATCTTTTTCTTCCTTTAAGGATTCCGTGGATCGTTTGAAGCCATAGGCTCTGTATCGTGAATAGTGGCTTCTTTCTTTAGGAGTTTTATAATATATACGAGTTTGAGTTTACTCTTGCACCCTAGGCTGGCGTTTACGTCTGACGTTTTCGAATGACAATACTTCGCTGTACCATAAACCTATGGCGTACGAGGATACGTACGAATACACGAACCTGTGTATATTATTTTTGCTCTTTGAACTTACGAGAAGCACCTTTTATTCATTACACGAATGTATTGTACATATATATCTATATGTACGAAGAAAGTAAAAGGGTGAAAAGGGATTTGGGGTAAATTCACGTTTTTACGTATAAATCCTCATACGCGATATACATCCATCACACAGATGATTTCGACTACCCCCTGCTAAAGCAACCGCTTGAAAATGGGGTGTACCTTCTTAGAATATCGTAGACGGAGGTACAATATAATTAAATTCTCGTGGTCTTGGAAAAATGATTAGACGGTCCCTTTAAGATGCTGGTTTTCAACGATACCAAGAGATGGATTATACATCGAGGGATGATCCGAAGGGATGAAAAGGAAGGGAGTTTCCCAAGGTATAAGAACGTAAAATTACAGGTTAATTGCGTGTTTGCCGTTGTTTCGGATGTCTGGCTGAAGCTTGCAGAAAACGGGCGTGGTTTTGCTAGAAGCTCGAGGGGTCTTGGAGAAAAGTGGGGTAGAGGAAGGGGAAAAGAAAGGAGAGGCTAAAAAAATTAGAGAACAGAGAAAAGGGTATTCAGGGATACCACTCATTGGATTTTAACCGTATGAATAAAAAAAAAAAAGCAGAAAGTAAAATCTACCCTTGATGGGATTTGAAATATTTGCCAGTTTTCAACGACCGATATTTAATATGTCTGGCTTGGTAACCGTGTCTCAACTACGAACGGTGGAAATGCTCGCGAAAGCGTTCACGGTCGAATGAGGATCGTATAGATATTTTCAGAATCGCGGGACCTTGCGACTACCATTATTCATTTGGGAGGAGCATAAATCCTATGAGAGAGAAAGAGAGACAGAGAGTGCGTACTCGTGCTTGCGAATGCAGAAAAAAAGTAAGCTTAGAGTATCTGAATGCGATCAGACAATTGTCACAGTAAGCGGCCGTTATCGGAGTCTAGATGCTTCTAGAAGGAATCGAATCGCTGCCGTTTATTCAGTCGTTACTTTTTGCCGGGCTACGACGAGACGACTTTAAGCTTATGTATTCCCAGTTCCATTTTCAGATCAGTATTCTTTTTCGTTTTACAGATTTTCTCTTCTTTTTATTTCAAGATCCAGGAATGGCTTGCCAGGGTTTGATATACAGAATACTGACAATGGATTCCATTGAAATATCGGAGTCCTGAAAGATACACGTATACCATGTCGGTAGAAACTTTGCTATCCTCGATTAAGACCCTTCATCCAGAATCCCCTACGACCCCAAAACCAAACCATTTGAACCCTTTTGGTACTATCGTACCAAATGCGTTTTTCGAAGTCCTTTATGCCCGATAAGACCACTTCGGGGCAAGGGGGGGAGACCACTCGACGTCTCCAGTTTCCGGAACGGTCAACGAGATAAGCCTTAGCCTTTTGTGTCGCATGCGATAAGAAGTCAAAACTGGTGCAAATCACATGGATTTATTAATGTGTTTCTATCCGCATACGACGTCACGGAGCATTAGCTATAGCGAGACGTTACGTCTCTTGACAAGGCCGTATAGTAAAGCTACGATTAAAAATGTCTGTACATATAAATTCTTCATTATCGAACTCGTGTTGTGATTAGTGGAATTTCTTAGTCGCTGCCAACCTTCATTTACGTAGAGACGAAACAAGAGAGCTGGGTTAACTGATTTCATTGAAATATGAGAGACAATCATTTTCTCGTTTTACTGTGCATCATTATATATCTCGTTATCGGTGAGTCCCAGCATCCCTTATTTATGAGATGATATTTGATAAGGAATTGAAATATTTTATTTCAATACTATCAATATTTTTTGTCTCAGTCGTATCGTCCGGCTCCGTTGATGTAAATGACAATCGTAATTCAAGCAACGGTACCGAAGATCACTGGTTGAGGAGACGTGTAATACTACGTAGTGTTCGGAGCGCGCTTAACTCTGATAAAAAAGTAAATAAAACTCTGGACGTAACGTTTGGTCAAAATATGAAGGAATGGCTATACGTGCACGATGCTGTAGTGAATTCATCGTGTAACTTTTCAAAAGCCTTTGGTCACATGTGTTACATATATGACTGCGAGGAAGGGAAAAGCCTGTATTGCGAAATGGAATTGCGAACTGGACCGTGTCCAGAATCTTTGCAAGCGTACGAGAATTCGTTTCATTGTCGGGACGTTCAGATAAGCCGTTCTAAAGGCACGGTGCAAGTGAGTATTACTGTTCATAGGGAAATATTTGTGTTGAAGATGCCATATATCATGTAGGCCAGTGAAAGATCTAGGGGATGCTGAATATTGAATTGAATAGAATTTTCTTTTGCTGTATATAGGTATGTAAATTAGGTGGAATGGTAAGAAGTCTTGGCCAAAAGTCAAAATCGAAAGACGGTAGGAACGCGTGTATGTATCGTGACGTAATAACCTTGAGCGGACGTATGGTCGAGGAGTTGATCAGACGAGTGAAAGGGAAGCCGTGGATGGTGCGAAAGAGAAGATACTTCCGGCGTGAGAGGGAAGATACGACCGAGACCAAGCAGAAGGAGGATGACAATTCGGAGAAGGATAAAGACGAGGAAGATGATAAAACAGATGGCACGACGGAAAATTCTAATGAAGGTAATGATAATGATAGCAGTGATAAGAGCACGACGGAAAATAACAAGGAGGATGAGAATGATACGAGCGATTCGAAAAGTACCACTGCTGCGTCGAATGCAGGTGAAAAGGAGCCAACTGGAGAGACCACGAAGGCAAGTACGGAGGATGACGTAACTGGGGAGCCGAGTGACGATGATGTAAAAACTACGTCGGATGACGTGACGGATGAAAATGTGACGACAACTACGGGGAAGGAAATGACGAGTTCTGAAAAGATGGAAGAGACAACATCGGATGAGGTGGAAACGACGACGAACCCTACGGTGACGGAATCTGAGGGGTCGGATGAGACAGCAACATCGGATGAGGGGGAAATGACGACAACCCCTGCGGTGACGGAATCTGAGGGGTCGGATGAGACGACAACATCGGATGAGGGAAAAATGACAACTTCAGCGGTGACGGAATCTGAGGGATTAGATGAGACGACAACATCGGATGAAGGAAAAATGACGACAACCCCTGCGGTGACGGAATCTGAGGGGTCGGATGAGACGACAACATCGGATGAGGGAAAAATGACAACTTCAGCGGTGACGGAATCTGAGGGATTAGATGAGACGACAACATCGGATGAAGGAAAAATGACGACAACCCCTGCGGTGACGGAATCTGAGGAGTCGGATGAGACGACAACATCGGATAAAGGGGAATTGACAACAACCCCTGCGGTGACGGATTCTGAGGGGTCGGATGAGACGGCAACATCGGATGAGGGGAAAATGACGACAACTTCAGCGGTGACGGAATCTGAGGAGTCGGATGAGACGACAACATCGGATAAAGGGGAATTGACAACAACCCCTGCGGTGACGGATTCTGAGGGGTCGGATGAGACGGCAACATCGGATGAGGGGAAAATGACGACAACCCCTGCGGTGACGGAATCTGAGGGATCGGATGAGACGGCAACATCGGATGAAGGGAAAATGACGACAAGTTCAGCGGTGACGGAATCTGAGGGGTCGGATGAGACGACAACATCGGATGAGGGAAAAATGACAACTTCAGCGGTGACGGAATCTGAGGGATTAGATGAGACGACAACATCGGATGAAGGAAAAATGACGACAACCCCTGCGGTGACGGAATCTGAGGGATCGGATGAGACGGCAACATCGGATGAAGGGAAAATGACGACAAGTTCAGCGGTGACGGAATCTGAGGGGTCGGATGAGACGACAACATCGGATGAAGGAAAAATGACGACAACCCCTGCGGTGACGGAATCTGAAGGGTCGGATGAGACGGCAACATCGGATGAGGGGAAAATGACGACAACTTCAGCGGTGACGGAATCTGAGGAGTCGGATGAGACGACAACATCGGATGAAGGAAAAATGACGACAACCCCTGCGGTGACGGATTCTGAGGGGTCGGATGAGACGACAACATCGGATGAAGGAAAAATGACGACAACCCCTGCGGTGACGGATTCTGAGGGGTCGGATGAGACGACAACATCGGATGAAGGAAAAATGACGACAACCCCTGCGGTGACGGATTCTGAGGGGTCGGATGAGACGACAACATCGGATGAAGGAAAAATGACGACAACCCCTGCGGTGACGGATTCTGAGGGGTCGGATGAGACGGCAACATCGGTTGAGGGGAAAATGACGACAACTTCAGCGGTGACGGAATCTGAGGAGTCGGATGAGACGACAACATCGGATAAAGGGGAATTGACAACAACCCCTGCGGTGACGGATTCTGAGGGGTCGGATGAGACGGCAACATCGGATGAGGGGAAAATGACGACAACCCCTGCGGTGACGGAATCTGAGGAGTCGGATGAGACGGCAACATCGGTTGAGGGGAATATGACGACAACTTCAGCGGTGACGGAATCTGAGGAGTCGGATGAGACGGCAACATCGGATGAGGGGAAAATGACGACACCCCCTGCGGTGATGAAATCTGAGGGGTTGAAAAAGACGACATCATCGGATGAGGGGAAAACGACGATAGATTCGTCGACGAAGCAAGGTGATTACCATCTGTTAACCTTAGATCCACGTGAACTAAGTAAATTGTTTCGCGAGCACAGCGATTTCTTTAAGTTCCAGATAGAAAGCGAGGTAAAGAGGAGAATGAAAGAGGGAGAGATTAACAAATTGCTGAGATTGAATATAGAAACATCCATGAAGGAAAAGAACATGTCGAGGGAGGATGCTGTGGAAGCACTGAAGAATGAGATACAAGGACATTTGTACTTTCCGGTAATGATGAATAAGGTGCGAGACATGGTGGATGAGCTTCGCGAAAAATTGAAAATAGGAAATGATGGAAAACTTTTGAGGTAGTGAATGGCGTCTTATTATTTTTTTAATAATAATATCATTGTCTATGTACATTTATTTTTCAAATTTACAATAATCATAAGCGAATTTTCATCTCTTCTGGCTCTGTGTACCTCCTGACTAGGATCCTATCTACTTTGTCGCATAAGGGCAGAGACAGTTAACCCTAAGTTATTTCCGCAACGAAACTTGAGAAATTACAGCCAACTACCAGTGACGTTAACAAAGCTTTGATGTTAGGAGTGGCTCCTATACGGAGGACACATTAGTGACTATTTGAAGATCTGGCAATTCTGCTGCATCCAAGGTATTTCTGTCTGACCCGAATTTGCTCCATTACTGATAACTTCCGGAGTGACTTGAATTTTACGAGAAATATATCAATTAATATACGTACACGTGATATTATATTTACAGTGAAGCAGCTTAGTGAGCTAAATACTTTTTTTTGTACTTCATGTTATTGATTAACATAAATATCGTTCTAATTACTCATAGATCAATATATTTAATCTCGTTAATTGTCACTCTAAACGAGCTGGCACAAAAGTGTCAGAATATGTAAATACTCTCGCCACGGCGATTTAAATGTAATAAGCCAGCGGTTTCTCAAGAATTCCGTTCGACCTTTGCCCCCCATTGTTAAAGTACCGCGTCAGATTTTAGAATTCTGGTATTCTGGTCGAGACCAGAGGGGACGAAGGATAACGAGAAGGAAGAACTGCAGAACTACGTAAATTATTTTTTATAACATCCCGAAGGAAATCCTTTTACCACGCTGCGGTATTTGTCTTACTTCGTTCACGCCTTTTACCCTAATTGGCTGTTCGGAGGCGGTTCCAAGTATCAGACCCACATTTTAAGGGTTGTTTAGCAAAGATAATTCTCAGGGCTCTCAAACGCTCCTAGTATCCCTTGCAAACTAGAATATCGTGGAGTCCTTTATTTACATCAAAAATTTTCCCAGCCCCCGACTCTTCAAACTTCGTAACCCCTGATAATATACTATCAATTCCAAAATAGTATTTATCATTATATATATATATATAAAATCTTGATATATCAGACTCACCGATAAAGGATCCTCTCCTGTCGATCAGCTTCTCTATAAATCTTGTAATACATGGCGATCATGATGATACCAGGAACCCAAAAGCTGATACTGGAGCTGATAACAGCGTAAAGTTTATTCACTTCGAACGAACACACGTCCGGCGAGTTCTTACGGAACTCAAGGTGTTCCGGCGTTGTGTACCAGCCGGCAAAAATCGGTAGGAAGCTCATGATAGTTGGCGAACACCAAACGACACTCAACATAGTCCCCAGTCTTAGGTTGGTCATGATTAATGGATAATCGAGCGGTTGTACTATTGCGTAATAACGATCAACGCTGATACAACACAGATGCAATATCGACACGGTGCTGAAGAATACGTCGAGCGAGTTCCAGACGTCGCACATGAAATAACCAAAGAGCCACTTGCCAGATAGTTCGACGCTCGCGTTAAAGGTCATGGCAAAAATGGCCACGAGCATGTCCGCAAGAGCGAGGGACACTACGAAGTAATTGGTAATCACTCGTAGCTTCCTGTGCCTCATTACCGACACGATTACAAGTAGATTGCCGAAGAGCGCGCAGAGAATTATGAATCCCATTATCGAAGCTTTAGCTATTAGAATAAGCACGTATTCGAACTCGCTCTCGTCGCTCCTGGTATCATTGTTCTGCTGTCCGGTGTCGATGAGAATATTTAAGAGGCTCGTCGAGGCATCGCTGCTGTTCGATTCATCGTCAATGGTGACGTTGTTCTCCATTATGAATTATTATTCGCGACAGGCAGCTCAGAAATTTTTATTCGAGCCGTGACTCATCGCTCGATCGAATCGGACCTTAACGTACATTCAGGACGATGGTAGTGTCTAAAGATTCCGCTAGAGCTACACGGTTGGCGGGAAAATTTGAATTTTCATCACCGATCGTCTCGCAGGAATTTGTTTTTTTTTTTTCGATTCACTGGACTCTCTTCCACTTTTGGTCTAATAACATCACTTATCACTGTTTCTTCTTTTACCGGTTGAACTTTGCACTCAGTTTCGGTAGGTCAAGATCGATTTTATTTTCTTCGTTGGATTCATCGCTCTTCTTGCATCGGCTGCCTTTTGAACGTTCCGCATATGGGAACGCTCCTATCCGAGGTGAATCAATGCGGATTCCTGTTAACGATGCGCTTGCTGAAGGCGGTGAGTATCCGACTGATTGTACTCTCGAATCAGACTCGTACGCTTTTCGTTGACGGGCATGCTTCAGGGGGACATCGGATGACAAATAACATTTTTTCGTGTGCAACAGGAGGTTCACCTTGGGAAATGGCCCTGAGGCCATTTTCATGTGGACTACGCTTTCCGTTTGGTCGCTCTCTTTAATTTGTGAAACTTTTGTAGAAACGTAGTGGTCGGTCAGCTGCCGGACGTCATTGCCCGATTTATCTGTAATTAATTAAAATATATTAGTACCTTGTACCTTTGAAGACAAAATAACATTACAGGCTGTATACGATACAGCAGAGAGCAAGCAGAGTAAGTTGGCGAATAAATGTATAGCGACGATATGGTTGAGTTTAGATTTTTTTCTTATACGTCAAATTTATCAAGTATTATCGTACAACTTTCGATCGCCTCTTTGAAGATACTCCATTAGGATTTTATACGCTGTATAATATTTATACTGTAAAATGATCGAAAAATCAATCATGTACTTCCCCTTCACTCCCCTTCCCTGTCTCAAGCTCTGGAAAATTCTTCGATGAATTTTCTCGACTCAAGTCCTTGGTTGGACTCCATATAAATTTTGTCAATATACCTTTTCCTACTTTTCTTTTTTTTTTCTCGTCCTTACGATATTTCACCTTGTATTTTTTTTCACTTCGTCCAATTAATTTCTCTTCCTCGTTTCTCCTACAGTACCTTTCTTTGCCCATTATGTCTTATACTTACTATTTCTCAAAACTTCATATCACTTTGTGTTATCTGATTTTTCGGTACATCCAACGTCGTGGTTATCTGTGTCTTTTTTTTTTTTGGTATCAAACTAAAAAGACAATTTATCGAAATCTGTGCGAATAACTTCAAGACAAGTGTTTCCATTCTCTATTATACACACAGTGAAGTGTTCTATCACAGTGCATGGCGGGTAGTGCTTTAACAAAATATTATCTAAACTGTATCTGTACTATGGTAAGAGGTTTATGTTCTCGTAGCTTATCTATTACGTGGTAACGTGAATTTATGTATCTTTTGAATTACCTGCTTTTTCTCTCTTTTCTTCTTGTATAGCAAGTTTGATATAGGGTATTTAATATTATATACATAATAATATTATATTTGAATTCATGGCCATTGGAAAATCTTAAATAGGATTAAAATGTATTGTTCGTAACACGTCATGCGATAAACATGGTCACTGTGTATGCCCGTATGATATTCTGCTCGGTCGCTATGTAGGCTATATATATATATATATATATATATGGTTCCAGACATAGAATATGGTTCCAGTGTGACTGATTTGAATTTCAAGCAATCTAAATTCGGGAGCAATTACAGGCCGATCGATTGGGCCTGGCTAATAGTTTGTAATTCATATGGTTCCAGACATAGAATATGGTTCCATCGTAACACGTCATGCGATAAACATGGTCACTGTGTATGCCCGTATGATATTCTGCTCGGTCGCTATGTAGGCTATATATATATATATATATATATGGTTCCAGACATAGAATATGGTTCCAGTGTGACTGATTTGAATTTCAAGCAATCTAAATTCGGGAGCAATTACAGGCCGATCGATTGGGCCTGGCTAATAGTTTGTAATTCATGAAATCATGAGAAATTAATGTATACTGAAGTATATTTTGGCATTAAAAAAACTTTAAGATATTTTATCAGCCAGGAGTATCGAGGATGATCATTTAAGGGAACCCCGGATAAACTTAGTAAAACTTTCAGAGTTTTATAAAACAGTAAAATAAGATTTTATCGCATGTTTAAGATAATCTGTTTTCTCCCCCCGAGGCTTCAGTGCACCAAGGGTCGTCTTCGGGATAACACTATGACGAAGATTCGTTTCTGTACAAAAAATATTCATAAATTTCAATGGCCCTAGGCGTTTTGAATTTCCTGTATAAATTCTATCGTTACAACCAACTCGCGCCTCTTCTCGCGCACTGATTTTGTTTTCGACAAAGTGGCATTCGTCTTTCACTTTTTTATTGATAACCCATGCATTATTTATAGAGTCTGTAATAAACTTTGTACGATAAATCTTTCTTCTCTCAATTTTCAATTCCAAAAAGTATTTGTAGCATATTTTGCAATTTATCTTTTTTCTTTTCGAAATTCATTTAAAAATTCTCATATTCAAAGTGACTTTGCATGAAAAATATATAACGGAGAGTACTGCACAGCAGACCAATACAGATATTGCATTTCGTGATAGAGAAGGTCAAGCATGAGTCATTTATGGGATGCAGCAGATATCGATAATGGAGAGACCGATGCGAAGAATAAAAAATACAGGGAACGCAATAATACGAAAGTATTGACTGTTTAAGTATCTTCAGAGCTGGCTTATAATAAGTCCTTAAGAAATTGCGTTCACTGTATATATTTTTTTTACAGTATTCACGAGTCACACTATTTCATTATTCCGAAAGATTAAATAATTTCGATACATTGAAATATTGATCGGTATCCCTAGGGAATTCAGTGGCCAAATAATACTCTCTAAGTCTACTGCCATGTATAACCTACGTTGTTAGATCTTTACTGCGAGAAGAGCATGCAGCGTGCATCGTCAAAGATGCATAACCAACTTTTATACCCACAGCGGTTTGTATACATTATAAGCCTAGGTATAAGACCTGGATAGATAATGCAGTAGGATTCGGTACACACTGTGTATATGCACTTTGCAGTATACTGCATCGCGCGTAGAAGTGAATGCACTTTTAATGGGAAATCAGTTAGCTGAAGAAAAGAGCGAAGGAAATATTTTTAGAGAATAAAAGATACGAGGAATTGACGTTGAAAAATATTTTTTAAATTTGGATTAAAATCGATGCAGATATGCATAATATTTTCAGAGCTTAAAAAAAAATGTTAACATCGTGAAATCTTGATTTTTCGATAAACACCCTCATCTGGGCACCCGACGCAATTGATCGTAAGGGTTGTCGGGGAATCTTAATAACTCCCACTGGCAGCTGATAAGAATCTCGAAAGCTTTTAATTAAAGAAAGTCATTCAATAGGAATTGCAGGGAGGTAAGGGATGAGACAAGTTGCTATCGGGTAAAATTTTGCACGTGGGTGGTGGTAGCTGTGATAATGTAATGAGGAATGTCTCGATTAAGCGCTGTATCGGACAGCCTGGGAAATTTCAATGAAGAGGCTTGGATCGAAGACAAAATGAATTCTATGCGAAGGTGTAATCAGGATTGTTGAGGATCTACGTCAGTTGCATCGGGCGCAGCCTATTATAACGGAACAGAAAAGATCCAGATGTATCTGGGTGGCAGGTAAGTGTTGACGAGGGTGTCGAGAGAAAAGTTTAATGGAAAATATTAATCGAAAAATTTTTTATCTCATTTCCGTGAAACGAATCATAAAAATACGAAAAACAAATGAAATAACAAGAGCACGCAATGTCTTGAGAAATTAAAAAATATTTTTAAAACTTCATCCCTCGTACCTATACATCACTGGAAAGTCGATGTTATGCTAACACACATAGATCTCAACCGTGTTTCTCGGCATTAAGATGGTAGCTGTGTTTATTTTTAGCTGTTTTTCTTCCTCCCACCTTTTCGCACCAATCCGACAATATTCAATCTCGTTAATTAATTTTTCATCTTTTTTTCGTACAGTCAAAAATTTATTTTTCTTATTTTTTTTTTTATTTCGGACTTTCTTCACTTTGCAATTAATAAAACATAGGGGATCCTGTTTATTAATCTTTTATCACGGCATCGCGAACTTTTCGTATCGGGTCACGTTTTTATCAAGTCGCCAATTTTATTTGCCAACTACCCTCACAGCTCGATCCTGCTAGAATGCGAATTTCGAAGGAGTTTGTTTTAATGCACAGGCCACTATGCAATAGGCGTCTAACGAGAGAAACTATGACCGATAACGGGGTACCTGAAATTACCAAGATCTTGATTCTCAAGAGAGCGAAAAGGAGCGAGGAGACAGTGCTCTATCGCTATCATCTTCTAAGGGTTGGTTTCTTACTCAACGCTATTACCGGATTAACTTTGAACGAAGTAACCGAGCCGATCTTGAGAACCTCTTGCCGATCGTCTTACGTAATAAGAGCGTCAACGAAATCGATTACGAAAGTGAGTTACTGGTCCATTAGGTACATACCTTTATAGCTGATAACCCCTGCCTCGTAAAATCAAGATAAATCTTCGTTCCAGGAGCATTGCACCAAGTTAGAAGTGGAAATTTTGTAAATTCCTCATCGGTTCCCTCGTTCGGAAGCACTGCCTTAAGGGGAGCACCTTCTTTAAGATTATTTTCGTATACTTTTCTTGGATGCTGGATTATTGTTTTTCCATAGGTGCAGTCTCCTATTGCATGTATATCGATTATCGGCTGTAGAATAGGTTGCAGCGCCTATAGTCCTTAAGATATTGCACATGCACTTTGACGTTCTCTACGGGCTTCGGTTACCTCGTGACGGTTGCAATTTATTAAGGTCGCGTATTCACTGAAATTTTCGTCGCGCTTCATTCGTGTAACACGTATGAAGGAGGCTCGACACTGTGTTTTGATCAGGGCGACGCCGAGCGTCGCGATGCCAAGGAGAGGATTTTTTTTTTCAAATTTTTTAAAAAGTTCATTTTCAATTTAGCGGCGTCGCGGCGACCCTGGGTTCGATGTCGCTCGTTGTTATGCGGACTAAAGCCGCTTCCACTGATGTCGATATTCCGTGACACAGGCGTTACGAAACGTTGGGAGTTGATGCACCGTGTAACGATGGCTTTTATTTTATCATTGATACCATCCGACGTTACATAGAAATACGCACTGTTGTATTTTGGTGGATTTTAGCGGATATTTTTATTCTTCACTTTATACGATTGTCAATGCAACCTGCCTTTTTTTCTCCACGTTCGTTATACTGCTTTCGTGTCGTAACATCGCGTCGGGCGATTTTCTCTTATGAAAACTCGACTTTATTACTTGCGGCTTTTATGGTGTTTTTTAATTATCCGAGTCTTCGCTAGTCTTTATGGTGGTAATTCGAGAGAATTTTTTCATTTTTAATCATATCATTAAACAATCGTTGGTTCTTATCGTTAATGGATTACTAATTATTGTTATTATTATCAACTGATTACCGTCACATCATGCGAATAAATTTTATAAAATTTTAATTATATTTACATAAATAACGTAACTTTCGGTTTAGCACGACGTAAAGCACTGTCTCAATTGGAAAACACACTTTTCCACATGTCTCACTCCTTCCAACGTTACCGATTACGAAACACGTCGTGATAACATAAATCGTTATTTTCTAAATTTAATATCCGGCAGAGTAACGATATCGCAGCGATTATTTTTTATTATAAAACAATATTTCAAACTAACATCCGGACGTAGATACAGAGTCGAAAGACTCATATCCGTAAGTTCCCCCTTCCCTCCAAAAAAAAAAAATTTTAAAAAAAAACAAAAAAAATGTTCTCACTAAAATTTCAGTATTCCTTACACAGTGAAAATTTTACGAAAATTCTTAAATTTGTCTTATTCCCATATTATAATATTCGCGATGACTCCGCGTTATCGGATATTGCCAAAAGCACTGTTCCATTGGGCGAAGCGTGTTATCATTAAAGCGGGAACAGATAACAAATGGCGATGTCGCTTCCACGGCTGGCGAAGCCGAAGTGAACCGTGGCTGCCGGAGGTAGGAGCTTTCCTACTTTCCCGCTTTCCACTGGTAGCACCCTACTACGGAGCTTCCACTCTCCGTGGCTTCCATCGGCTACCCTTACAGCACCGGCCTAGCTTGAGCTACCCTTGTTCTCCGGCCCTGCCGTCCCGCAGTTCCAACGCCCTCGGATTCACCCTCGATGAAGCCCCTGTTGCCCTGCCTG